TCATGATCCCAGGGTCCTGGGATCGAGCCCTGCATCGGGCTCTCTGCTCAGCAAGGAGCCTGCTTCCCCCTCTCTCTCTCTGCCTGCCTCTCTGCCTACTTGTGATCTCTGTCTGTCAAATAAATGAATAAAATCTCTAAAAACAAACAAACAAACAAAAACAAGACCCATTGACATCCTTCTGCAAGAAACTCATTTTAGACCCAAAGACACCTCCAGATTTAAAGTGAGGGGGTGGAAAACAATTTACCATGCTAATGGACATCAAAAGAAAGCTGGGGTGGCAATCCTTAAAACAGACAAATTAGATTTTAAGCCAACGACTATAATAAGAAATGAGGAAGGACGCTATATCACACTTAAAGGGTCTGTCCAACAAAAAGATCTAACAATTTTAAATATCTATGCCCCTAAAATGGGAGCCTCATTATATTAATATATAATAATATATACTAGTATCTATAAACCAATTAATAACAAAATCAAAGAAACACATCGACAATCATACAATAATAGTATGGGACTTCAACACCCTACTCACAGCAAAGAACAGATAATCTAAGCAGAAGATCAACAAGGAAATAAAGGCTTTCAATGACACACTGGACCAGATGGACATCACAAATATATTCAGAACATTCCACCTCAAAGCAACAGAATACACATTCCTCTCTAGTGCAAATGGAACATTCTCCAGAATAGATCACATCCTGGGTCACAAAGTAGATCTCAACTGGTACCAAAAGATTGGGATCATTCCCTGCATATTTTCCACAAGAGGAAAGTTGGAAAGAACAGAAATACATGGAGGCTAAAGAGCATCCTACTAAAGAATGAATGGGTCAACCAGGAAATTAAAGAGGAATTTAAAATTTCATGGAAACAAATGAAAATGAAAACACAACTGTTCAAAATCTTTGGGATGCAACAAAGGTGATCCCAAGAGGAAAGTATATAGCAATACAAGCCTTTCTCAGGAAACAAGAAAGGTCTCGAATATACAACCTAACACTACACCTAAAGGAGTTGGAGAAAGAACAGCAAATAAAACCTAAACCCAGCAAGAGAAGAGAAATAATAAAGATCAAAGCAGAAATCAATGAAATAGAAACCAAAAGAACAGTAGAACAGATAAATGAAACTAGGAGCTGGTTCTTTGAAAGAATTAGTAAGACTGATAACCCCCTGGCCAGACTTATCAAAAAGAAAAGAGAAAGGACCCAAATCAATAAAATCATTAATGAAAGAGAAGAGATCACGACCAACACCAAAGAAATACAAACAATCATAACAACATATTATGAGCAACTATATGCCAGCAAATTTGACAATCTGGAAGAAATGGATGCATTCCTAGAGATATACGAAATACCAAAACTGAACCAGGATGAAATAAAAGACCTGAATAGACCAATAACCAGTAAGCAGATTGAAGCGGTCATCAAAAATCTCCCTAGGCCAAGAGCCCTAGGCCAGATGGCTTCCCAGGGGAATTCTACCAAACATTTAAAGAAGAATTAATACCTATTCACCTGAAACTGCTCCAAAAAAACAGAAATGGAAGGAAAACTTCTAAACACATTTATTGTGGCCAGTATTACCTTAATTCCAAAACCAGACAAAGACCCCATCAAAAAAGAGAATTACAGACCAATATCCATGATGAACATGGATTCAAAAATTCTCACCAAAATACTAGCCAATAGGTCCAACAGTACATTAAAAGGATTATTCACCATGACCAAGTAGAATTTATTCCTGGGCTGCAAGGTTGGTTCAACATCCACAAATCAATCAATATGATACAATACATGAATAAAAGAAAGAACAAGAACCATATGATACTCTCAATAGATGCTGAAAAAGCATTTGGAAAGTGCATCATCCTTTCTTGATCAAAACTCTTCACAGTGTAGGGATAGAGGGTACATACCTCAATATCACAAAAGCCAGTTGTTCATCTCTATGAAAAACCCACAGCAATTATCATTCTCAATGGGGAAAAACTGAGAGCTTTTCCCCTAAAGTCAGGAACATGGCAGTGCTATCCACTATCTCCACTGCTATTCAACATAGTACTAGAAGTCCTAGCTTCAGCAATCAAACAACAGAAGAAATAAAAGGCATCCAAATCAGCAAAGAAGAAGTCAAACTCTCACTCTTTGCAGATGATATGATACTATATGTGGAAAACCCAAAAGACTCCACTCCAAAACTGCGACAACTCATACAGGAATTCAGTAAAGTTTCAGGATATAAAATCCATGCACAGAAATCAGTTGTATTTCTATACACCAACAATAAGACAGAAGAAAGAGAAATTAAGTAATTGATCCCATTTATAATTGCACCCAAAACCATAAGATTCCTAGGAGTAAATCTAACCAAAGAGGCAAAGAATCTGTACTCAGATAACTATAGAATAGCCGTGAAAGAAATTGAGGAAGACCCAAAGAAATGGAAAAACTTTCCATGCTCATGGATTGGAAGAACAAATATTGTGAAAATGTCTATGCTACCTAGAGCAATCTACACATTTATTGCAATGCCTATCAAAATATCGCCAATTTTTTCAAAGACATAGAACAAACAATCCTAAAATTTATATGGAACCAGAAAATACCCTGAATAGCCAGAGGAATGTTGAAAAAGAAAGCCAAAGTTGGCAGCATCACAATTCCAGACTTCAAGCTCTATTACAAAGCTGTCATCATCAAGACAGTATGGTACTGGCACAAAAACAGACACATAGATCAAGGGAACAGAATAGAGAGCCCAGAAATGGACCCTCAACTCTAGGGTCAACTAATCTTTGACAGCACAGGAAAGAATGTCCAATGGAAAAAAGACAGGCTTTTCAACAAATGGTGTTGGGAAAACTGGACATCCACATGCAGAAGAATGAAACTGGACCATTTCCTTACACCATACACAAAAATAGACTCAAAATGGATGAAAGACCTCAAAGTGAGACAGGAATCCATCAAAAATCCTTGAGGACAACACAGGCAGCAACCTCTTCTATCTCAGCTGTAGCAACTTCTTCCTAGAAACATCGCCAAAGGCAAGGGAAGCGAGGACAAAAACGAACTATTGGGACTTCAGCAAGATCAAAAGCTTTTGCACAGCAAGGCAAACAGTCAACAAAACTAAAAGACAACTGAGAGAATGGGAGAAGATATTTGTAAATGACTTATCATATAAAGGGCTAGTATCCAAAGTCCATAAAGAACTTATCAAACTCAACACCCAAAGAACAAATAAATAAGTCAAGAAACGGGCAGAAGACATGAACAGACATTTCTGCAAACAAGACATCCAAATGGCCAATAGATACATAAAAAAGTGCTCCATATCACTCGCCATCAGGGAAATACAAATCAAAACCACAGTGAGATACCACCTCACACCAATCAGAATGGCTAAAATTAACAAGTCAGGAAACGACAGATGTTGGCGAGGATGCAGAGAAAGGGAACCCTCCTATACTGTTGGTGGGAATGCAAGCTGGTGCAGCCACTCTGGAAAACAGTATGGAGGTTCCTCAAAAAGTTGAAAATAGAGCTACCCTACGACCCAGTAATCGCACTACTGGGTATTTACCCTAAAAATACAAATGTAGCGATCCGAAGGGGCACATACACCTGAATGTTTATAGCAGCAGTGTGTACAATAGCCAAACTACGGAAAGAACCTAGATGTCCATCACCAGGTGAATGGATAAAGAAGGTGTGGTATATATATTCAATGAAATACTATGCACCTATCAAAAAAAATCCTTCCATTTGCAACAGTGTGGATGGAACTAGAGAGTATTGTGCTAACCAAAATAAGTCTATCAGAGAAAGACAATTATCATATGCTATCTCTAATATGAGGAATTTGAGAGGCAGGGCAGGGGGCTGTGGGGGTTAGGAAGGGAAAAAATGAAAGATGGGACCAGGGAATAGGACAAACCATAAGAAACTCTTAATCCCAGGAAACAAACTGACTGTCCTGGGGGGTGGGAGGGGAAGGATGGGGTGGCTGGGTGATGGACACTGGGGAGGGCGTGTGCTATGATGAATACTGTAACTTGTGTAAGACGATTAAGATGTAAGATGATTCACAGATCTGTACCTCTGAAATAATACATTATATGTTAATAAAATAAAATAAATTTTAAAAAATAAAAGTTGACTTATAGCAGAAGAGGGTAATATACTCTTAACAGCTGTTATACTTCTACGACTTGATCATCAATATATCACTAACATTTGATGGTTTGACAAAGGACAGAACTGGGAGGAAAAAATTAGTGATTCCATAAAGTTTTCATTATTAGTCAGAGAAGCTGTGGAAGTGGGGCGCCTGGGTAGCTCAGTTGGTTGAGCATTTGCCTTTGGCTCAGGTCATGATCCCGGAGTCTCAGGATCAAGACCCACATCAGTCTCCCTGCTCAGCAAGGTGTCTGATTCTCCCTCTGCCTCTGGCCCTCCCCTCACTCCTGCTCTCTTTCACTCATTCTCTCGAATAAAGTTTTTAAAAATCTTAAAAGGAAAAAGTAACTATGGAAGCAAAAAATAGAATGGGATCAAGATACAAAACAATTTTAAGAAATGTATTGAATCCTTGCCAAGCTGTGTCATTGATGGATCTTTCAGTATTATTCCTCTGTCTGGGGAATGAGGAGGTGTGGGGAAGAGCAGAGCTCAGAAAGTCTTTGTAGCTTGCTCCCCACTGGAATTTAAGGACCCCACACATGCTCAGAGTAGATATTTGAGGACCAGGTCAGAGATGACTTAAACTCACCCACCAGCTTCCTGAAAGGCTGACAGAATTGGTTTGTTCATGATTTACACTATGCAAATCTGGGAGGAAGGAATATTCTAGATCCCAATGTTTAACAGAATTTTTATCCTCTTATTTCACTACGGTAGGATGAGTCTCTCTCCCCGGAAAGACATCCTAAAAGGCTGACCTTGGACTGAATAAACAGAAGGAACAAATCCTCACTATACCTTCAAAATGTGCTCGTTGGACACCTTGTCGTCAGGGGACACATACAACCGGATGAACACAGAATTGCTGTATTGACCACGAAACGTTGCAAGGGTATGCAAGAGACTGAACTTCCTCTCTGACCAAATACCTTCGGGACCAATGTTAGATTCGAGCACAGGCCAGCGGAAAGGGGAATGTCGCAGGATGTGTAGCAATGGTTTGGCATCTGCTTTTTCGATCGCTTCTGAAAGGGAGCAAATACAAAGAAAGAGTTAGAATTGCAGACTGGATCACAAAACCAGAATGCAAGTGCATCTTCTCAAAAGAAAATTCCCCATAAGACCCCAACTTCACATTTCACCTGTTAGAGAGAGATGCAGTGGACTGAGCAGGACCACAGAGACAGAACTACCTATGGCTCACACTTCAATGTGACTGCCTGAACCAGGTATTCTTGCCAGGAGAGCGGACTACAGAAGCTGCTAGATATTCTGGACAAGAAAAGATGGGCTTTTTACAGCCCAATGAGTGATATTAGGCTGAGCATACCCTGCAAGATGTAGGAACAATCCTAAGTAAAGGAAACCATTCAGTAAAACCAACCACTCCCAAATACACTTGAATTAATGCTTCCAGACTCCTTGGCCGTCTATTATCACACTCTTCTAGCTCACCAAATAATACCCCAAATTCTAAACAAGGTAACACACTTCCCACAGGCACTGGCTTCTCTTCCTACAGTGGTCTTGAGGAAGCACACCAGATAAAATGGCAAGTGTTAACCTTAACTCCAATCAGACCCAAGATGCCAAGACAGGCCCAAGACACGCACCTAAGATGTCTGTTAGGCTGATGGAGAAGCAGAAGGAGCCTGGCCCACCTGGGAATCGGGATTTTCCTAGGCCTGGGTAAGCTTCTGTGGGATATAGCAACACTCCCAAATGCCCTCTCTCCCAGGCTCCTTCTCACACCAGACAGGGCCTCTGGATTCTCATTTCTGCACCACATATGGTGGGGTTTGCCCTCCTGACCCTACCCAAGTTTCTCATGGAGGAACTGCTACGTAAGGAATCCAAGCCAAAGAAATAAAATTATTTTCTTGTTTTCTCTATCAAGCCAGCAACAGAACATTAAGACAGGGAGAGTCAAGATTCAGTCTTTGAGAATTGTTCCTTTTCTCAAACAACACTTTTAAACATTAATCGAAATCTCAGTAGTTCTCGTTTTCCTTAAAGAACATCTTTAAACATTAATAGACTCTCTGAATGATAGGGTGTTAAATATTTCAGTTATTTTCTTTATTACTCACTCTCATTCATGCAAGATGAATAAAGGATTTTGGCTTTCTGTATGGCTTCGGTGTCCCGCCTTCTACTGATAGATTTCTCCAAAAGGGCTGGGAAGGTTAAGAAAGGATTCATTAGTATCCACCCACACAAGGTGCAACTTAGAGGTCATTCCATAACCACAGTCCCGGCCTCCGGAAAATTAAATGTAAAGACAGACAACCCTGGAAAAGACACATCTATAAAAGATATACAGACAGCAGGACCGAGTCCAAGTTGCTTGAGGTTCAAAAAAAAAAAAAATTTAACCTTCTCTTTTCCCAGGTTCTCTTAATTCAGAGAAACCTGAAGTTCAATTTCCGACTCAGACTGGACCTGCTGCAGGGGTTAATGTTTTCGCCACCTACATAAAAAGAAACAGAATTCATTTATTCAAGAACCAAAAATAACTGAATTCTGTTCTTTGTTTCTGCACGGAGTAATATTCTCAAAGGACGCAATTTCATCAGGGTCGGGTTTCTTAAGATTTCCTCACCGCCCAGCCTCTCCAGGAGGTCACCTGGAAGAAATTGCCCATTACAAGTTTTATTCGATGTTGCATAAACATGCTGTGGACATGGGAGAAGTTGTTTAGACAGGAAATGGAGAGGCGAGATTGGAAAGCCTACCCAAATTGCCTGAAAACTTGTCCATTTCCCCATGCGGAGTCCTGGCCGTTGAAATGAGGTCGTGTGTATAAAATGGCTGTCAGCGTAGACATGAGCCCACCCAGAAAATGATGTGCACTTTATAACATCACTGATGCTCTTGTTTGAAGGTGGAAACTGGCAGCTGTCATAATTAAGGGGAGAAGGAGGGAAAGGCAAGACTCAGTAAAAACTGCTCCCCCTCCTCGCCAAAACACACCTTCGATGTACCGGCGAGTACTCATTTACCTACATGGAGTTAAGATGAAGCATGTAGGAAGCATCCCCGAGCAGTACCGTGGCACAGCTGTGGCAGCCTGCTGCTGTCAAGGCATTTGGACTTTATTTCTGAAACAACCCAGCTGCCTCCCAATGACGGCACAACAGATGCCCCCATAGTACTCTGAAGAGCTTCAAGATACAACGGAGAGTGCTGATCCAATTAATAATTACATATTCCCTGAAGAGGAATCTCCACTTCTAAACTAGAAGTTCTACCTTTCAAAACAAAAAAAAAGGCAATCCAGAGCTCCTGTCCAGTTTTTTATCCACACTTGTACATCAAACAAGTCCAACGAACTCCACAGATTCAAATAAAATAAATTGAGTTGGATGTGGGTGTTTTCAATTGTTTTGACTTGTTTGGTGTTTCTTTCTTATGTATTATCACAGCAATAAAAGCAGGATAACTAGCCCCAAGGATCGAGAAGGACGATTGTTTTCTTTTTTTAATGAACACAAAGCTCTAAAACCACACTCACATACATTTCTATTCAAATCAGATCAGGTGCCTTTCCACTGTATTACTTCCACAGTTGTTGGACTGTTGGGGAGACACATTTGGAAGTAAATAATCCAAATTCCACTTAGGGATGTGATGTTCTTCTGATGCTATAAACACTCCACAGATTGTAAACAACAATGCCCTGAGGACCCAAACAAGCCTTGGGAGCGAAAGAACTCAAAGTAGTACATATGTACCTGAGTGTGCACCCAAGGCATTCTGTGTATGACAAGAAGGTAAAAAGAGGACATGCAATGCTAAGTAGGGCATTCCCAAAACCCTAACTGCGCACAAACATCAATAATTTGTTAAGGCACATCCCAGGGATACCGTGGGTTCAGTTTCAGATTACTACAAAAAAGTACATATTGCAATAAAGCGAGTCAAATTAATTTTCTGGCTTCCCAGTGCATATAAAAGTCATGTTTACACTGTAACAGCAGATGATTAAATGTGCAATAGCACCGTGTCTAAAAAATAATGTAATACCTTAATTTTAAAAAATACTTCATTGCTACAAAATGCTAACCATCATCTGAGTTTTCTACTCGTTACATTCTTTTTCGCTGGTAGAAGGTTTTGCCTAGATGTGGATGGCTGCTGACTGATCAGACTGGAGCTTGCTGAAGGTTGGGGTGGCTGTGGTAATTTCTTAAAATAAGACAACAGTGAAGTTTGCCACATAGATTGGCACTTCCTCTCACAAACTATTTCTCTGTAGCATGAGATGCTGCTTGATGGCATTTTATCCACAGAACAACTTCTTTCAAAACTAGAGTCAAGACGCTCCCTGGTGGTCTAGTGGTTAGGATTTGGCACTCTCTCAAAACTAGAGTCAATCCTCTAAAATCCTGCCACCACATTATTAACTAAGTTTATGTAATTTTCTAAATCCTTGGTTGTCATTTCAGACCTTCACAGTGTCTTTGCCAGGAGTAGATTCCATCTCAAGAAGCCACTTTCTCAGGGCGCATGGGTGGCACAGTCAGTTAAGCATCTGACTCTTGGTTTCAGCTCAGGACATGATCTCAGTGTCGGGAGATCGAGCCCCACATTGGGCTCTACCTTCAGCAGGGAGTCTGCTTGAGATTTTTCCTCCCTCTCCCTCACCCCCTCCCACTCATGCTCTTTCTCTCTCAAATCAATTAATTAATTTTTTAAAAAGACAAAACCGCTTTCTCTGTTCATCTGTAAGAAAAAAACTCCCCATCCATTCAAGTTTGATCATGACATGACGGCAATTCAGTCACACCTTCAGTTTCCACTTCTGGTTCTAGTTCTCTTGCTATTTCCACCACATCTGAAATTACTTCCTCCCCTGAAGTCTTGAACCCCTCAAAGGCATTCATGAGGGATGGAATCAGCTTCTTCCAGACTCCTGTGAGTGTTGGTATCTTGACTTGTTCACAAGGATCACACATGTTCTTAATGTCATCTAGAACAGTGAATCCTTTCCAGGAGGTTTTCTATTTGCTGTCCCCAGAGCCCTCACAGAAAGCACTACCTGTGGCAGCTATAGCCTTGTGAAACCTATTTCTTAAATAATAAAACTTGAAAGTGAAAATGACGCCTTGATCCACGGGCTACAGAGTGGATGTTGTGTTAGCAGGCATGAAGGCAACATGAATCTCACTGCCCATTTCCATCAGAGCCCTGGGTGACCAGGTACACTGCCATTGAGCAGTCCTACATTTTTTCTGAGCTACCAGAACTCAATAGTGCGCTTAAAATACTCACTAAACTACGTGTGAACAGATGTGCTGTCATCCAGCCTCTGCTGTTCATTGAGAGCACAAGAGGGTAGACTGAGCATAACCCTTGAGGGCTATGAATGGTCAGAATGGTCAGTAAGTACTGGCTTCAACTTAAAGTCACCGGGGCTGCCTCAGCCCCCTAATAACAAGAGAGCCTGTCCTTTGAAGCCTTGAAGCCAGGCACTGGCTTCCCCTCTCTAGCTATTAAAGTCCGACATGGCTTCTTCCTCTAAATAAGGCTGTTCCATCTACACTGAAAATGCGTTGTGTAGCGTGTAGTCATCTTTGTGAATCATCTCAGCTAGATCTTCTGGAGAACTTGGATGCCTGGGTAACTGGGTAACACTGCTTGACCTTATATCATGCATCCACTTCTGCCAGTTTCCAACTTTGCTCCTGCAGCTTCCTCACCTTTCTCAGCCTCCACATAATCCAAGAGAGTTAGGGCCTTGCTCTGCATTAGGCTCTGACCTATGGGGATGTATACGACGGCTGGCTTGTCTTCTGCCCAGACCACTGCAACTTCCTCCAGATCAGGAAGAAGTCCGTTTTGCTCTCTTATCATTCGTGTGTTCACTGGAGGAGCACTTTTAATTTCCTTCAACAATGTTTCCTTTGCATTCACAACTTGGCGACCATTTGGTGCGAGTCCGAGCTTTCAACATTATCTTCCTCACTAGGCTTAATCATTTCTAGCTTTGATTTAAAGAGATGTGTGAATCTTCATTTCACTTGAACACTTACAGGCCACTGTAGGGTTATTAATTGGCCTGATTTCAACATTGTTGCGTCTCAGAACAGGGAGGCCTGAGGAGAGGGAGCAAAATGGGCAAAGAGCCAGTTGGAAGAGCAGCCAGAACGCACACAACATTTATCAATTAAGTCTGACATCTTCCATGGTTCATGAGGCCCCAAAACAATTACAATGATAACATCAAAGCTCACTGATCACAGATCACCATAACAAATATAAGAGTAATGAACAGGTTTGAAATATTCTAAGAATTACCAAAACATGACACGGAGACATAATGTGAGCAAACGCTATTGGAGAAAATGGAGCCACATAGATCTGCTCGATGCAGGGTCACCATAAACCATTACTTTGTAAAAAATGCAGTACCTGCCACCCCCAAGAAAGGGAAGGTCCATAAAGTGAGGTAACCCCTGTCTGTGTCAAAATTCTGTTTTCTGTACCAGAAAATGGCTTTTAAAACAAATTCAGCTATCCCAGGTTACTTGTCAAACCCTTTCCCTTATCCTCTCCTCCTCGTGCCCAAGCAGGCAGGAGAGCATTGATATGCAGACAGCGATGTGGCAATCAGCTGGCGGCATCCATTTTATGTATCTCTGTATTTGAATTAGTGGTAAGAGGAATAAAGCCTGGAGAGTAATTAATGAGCACAAAACAAAGGCTGCCTATCAAAGGCAATTACTCGGGTTATTAAAATGTCCCTAAAGCGCTGAGAAGGGCTCCTGGGTCACCCACACAAGGGCATTCCCATCATCATCTGTGTTGTTTCTTGGACAATTTCTCAATCTTCACCCTCTTCCAGGTATTCTTAACCATGTTACAACAGAAAAGGAAAACTCCGGTTCATAAAAACGTATCATGCAACAAACCTGAGACTATAAAGCTGGTTTCAAAGTGCTTCTGATCATCAAATTCGAACAGAACACAAAAATACTATGTATCTTTTTCTCATTAATCTTAATCAAATAAAATCATCGAATTCTTTAATATAATCCAAGTTCCCCATTTTTTCTGTGTATGGTTAGTGTATTTTGTGTCCCATTTAAGAAACCTTTGCCTGTCCCAATCATAATCTATGTTTTTTACAGAATCCTTATTGTTTCACATTTAGATCTACAGCCTACATAGAATT